TCTAAAGTAATGCAAGATCAATTTGAGATGAGCATGATGGAAGAGCTCACCTTCTTTCTCGGCCTCCAAGTTAAACAATCCAATGATGGCACAAAGAAAATACGCTAGGGAGTTGGTGAAAAATTCGGGATGGAAAGTTCAAAACATGCCCCAACTCCAATAAGCACCACCATCAAGTTGGATGCGGATGAAAGTGGTGAAAAGGTAGACCAAAAGCTATATCGAGGTATGATAGGTAATCTTCTTTATCTCACCGCTAGTAGGCCGGATATCATGTTTAGTGTTTGTGCATGTGCACGTTTTCAAGCTTCTCATAAAAAGTTTCATTTGGTTGCGGTTAAAAGGATTATCAAATATATTAATGGCTCCTTAGAACTTGGTTTATTTTATCCTAAAAATAGATCTTTTGATCTTTGTGGTTATTGTGATGCCGACTTTGCCGGTTGTATGGTGGACCACAAAAGTACGAGTAGTACTTGTCAATTTTTGGGTAACTCACTTGTATATTGTGCTTCCAAGAAACAAAATTGTGTTGCTTTGTCCACTACGGAAGCGAAATACATTATCGTCGGCTTATGTTGTGCACAACTTTTGTGGATGAAATAAAATTTGGTTGATTTTGATTTGCACTTTCATAATACAACATTTTTTTGTGATAATACTAGTGCTATTAATATTTCAAAAAATTCTGTTTTGTATTCTAGAACCAAACATATAGATGTACGACATCACTTCTTGCGTGACCATGTTGAGCAAAAAGATGTTTCTATTGTTTATATTGATACCAAATCTCAATTAGCGGACATCTTTGTTAGACCCTAGAGGGGGATGATTAGGGTCTTATGCTAATCTAATCTGATTTTATGCCAATTAAAACTAATTATCAAGTTATTCTTGCAAGATAGATATGCAAAGAGTTATGTGCAAGAATATACAATATGAACAAAGGGATATATCCTAGCAATGAGATATATGGTGAAATATATGCAATGATATATAAACTAACACAAGGGTGAAACAATATAGTGGATGATATAAATAAGCAAAAGAACAATGGTGATGATATATAAACTAACACAAGGGTGAAACAATATAGTGGATGATATAAATAAGCAAAAGAACAATGGTGATATAAGATATGAACACAAGAAATAAAAACAATATAGTGGATGATATAAATAAGCAAAAGAACAATGGTGATATAAGATATGAACACAAGAAATAATTACGCCAATGACAAAGCAAACACAAGCAAATGACCACGGAGTTCGGACCTTCAGTCCTACGTCTCCACTCCCCCACTCCCAGGGAGAAATCCACTATCACAACCGGGTTTTCTACGCTCACCCGAATAACATTTACACCTCACAATTTCATTACGGAGTTCGGTCCCCACGACCTACGTCTCTGCTCCTCACCTCAAGGAAATCTCCACTACATACTCGGTTTTCTAGCTAACCGAAAATTTTACAATCTCACAATATAACAACAAATTAGTTTGTTCTCTAATACAAGGTGAGAACTCAATTAAGCACAACTCACTGTTACAATCTCTCACAACCCTAATATACTATGTATGTAAATACTATATACTATGTATGTAAATACTAAAAGCTCAATATGGGTGTGTGTAATAATAAGATAAATCAAATCTAAACTCAATATAAAACTAGCTTTAATAAAATAATAAACAAACAAATAGATATAAAGCTAGAAATAGAGTTTAGTAAACTTCTCAATAGATCAAGAGATTGAGGGAGGATGGTTGGATGCTCAAGCACCAATAGGATCTTCTCAAGCTCTTGTGAAGTTGATTTCACAAACCCAAAACTCTCAATTACTTAAAAGCTTCTTAAACACTCTTTTAAACAAACATTAAACAAGTTTAAACCCTTGTTAAACTCTTTTAAAACATTCTCTTGTGTTACAATGAAAGATGAGGGCAAGGGGGTATTTATAGCCTCCCAAAACCTCAGCCAAAAAGCCAAAACAAAAGACCAAAAAGATCACAAAAATATCTATAGAAAAATAGCCGTTGGTGGTGAAAAGATAGTGCGGCGGGCGACCGTGGGAATCTCACGGTCAACCGCGAGCAGCTAAGAAACAGGGTTTTGGCACAAGACAACAGACGGTCGACCGCGAAACTTTCTAGACTTCATCTAGTCGACCGTCACGGTCGACCGTGAGCCAACAAAAAGCAAACTGAGTCTTTGGACTCAAGGGCGGTCGACCGTGGCGGTCAACCGCAAACAGGTACTAGAAAAAATCAGGTTTGAAACAATTTTTCTGATTTTAAAATCCTGTTAAAAAATATCAAATAAATTCCAAAAAATATAAAACTTTGAAAAATGATTGTAGACATGATAATAAATATGCTACAAAGACTGGTTTTCAAAAAAGATCTCCCAAATGAGAAATATCATCATTTTGTAAAATAGTCCAAAACATGAAAATGTAAACACATGAGTTTTGACATTTTAGCTTAACCATATTTTGAAACATTACAAAATGATTTTATAGACTTAAAGAAAGATATAAACTATTGTTATGAAGTTTATAAACAATGAATATAGTATTTTATCAAAATACACATATAATGCACTAAAACATGATTTCATTGAACTAACTAAAATTGATATTGATAAAATCATATATATGCATGTAAGTATGAAACAAAAATATATTTTCTAATTATATTTAATTGTTTCATATTAAAACTTGAAAACTCAAAACCATGTATGTATATATATAACTAAATATACATAGAAACCAAAACTTAACTTATGTATATATATATATAACTTTATATATATACGAAGAAACCAATAAAATGTGTGTGCATATTATATTGAGCTTAAAGTACTAACACACATAATATAACACCTAAACTAAATATTACCCAAGCAATCTTGATCTTTAATAAGCTTGACTTGGTACACTTGCGGATGTAGCTTGAACTTGGATCTTGAACTTGAATTATATTGCTTCAACCACTATATCCGCCAACCTCCATTTGATATGATCGTTAATGCGTAATTCCATCCATCCTCTAACATGTTGTTTGTCTACAATAAATAGAATTATACAAACACTAGACAAACAACATTAAAAGTAAATTGTTTGTTAAACATCATCAAAATAAGAAGGACAATAATCTTTACCAAACCTCTTTGTGAAGTTGATTTTTGCCGCATTAGAAATGAATTGGGCTTGTGCATTCTTTAAAATAATCTCTTTTTGCCTATTTTGTTTTTAATTCTTTGCTCTACCATTATCATATCTACATTTTTTTTTATCCTAAAATGTCAATCCATGCTTAATCGCACATGGGTACCAAGAGGAGTGTAGAGGTAAGAGATCGGGATCGTCCTAAGAGGAGTGGGGTAGGTGGTAATGCCTAAAGGTAGGTCGTAATTCCTAACACTTGAGGGAGACATGGGTAGGCCAACACTTAAGGTGTATTTTTGTGGGTTTTTTAGCATGCATATTGTCTTTATTTTACCCTATTTTTTATGGTGACAAAGAGGGAGAGAAATCTCATTATTTGTGCACATAGTAAGGGGGAGCCTTATAGATAGGAGGAGCAACTATCTATAAACCAAATAGTTAATTTTACTTGCTCTTGCATAATGGTTGTTTGTCATCATCAAAAAGGGGGAGATTGTTAGGTCCTTTGTTTTGATGATGATTTACAAACACCATTATTGATGCTAATCGTTTATTGAGCTATATTATAGATCACATATCATTAGCACCTTTTAATGGAGGATTAGATGGAAAATGAGCTATAACGATAATATCTAAGAAGGTGGAGGCAAAGTGATGAAGCAATGCTTTCAAGAGCACCATATGCATAAGAAGCTTCATCCACTCAAGAGCAAATATCAAGACTCAAGTCATATATTTCTATGTGAGGGATATTTGCTATTTATTTTCTCTCTAGTACTTAATGTAGGTAAGTAGTTTGTTGATTACATTTGAAGTTCATGGGATATCACACTTGCACACTTTCAAAACTCGTATTTTGGTACTTTTGCTAAAATGATGATTTTCACAAATACGAGGATCTTTTTGCAAAATTCCTTTTCAAATAAGTTTGTCAAAATGTTTATAAACTATTCCCAAATTTTTATATTTTTGGAGCTTATTTATTATTTTTAACAAAGCTTTGAAACTCAATTTAAAAATCGATTCAAGCTGAAAATCTGTTATCAGTCGACTGACTAGTCGACTGATGAAAACACCCGGAATCATCAAAAAGTTTTTGTTCTGTTTTTGTCGACCGACCAGTTGACTAATGATCAATCAGTCGACTGAAAATGAACGTTAGTCGACTGATGAGCTAGTTTTTGAATACAACGTTCAGCTCATCAGTCGACTGATGATTCCCGTCAATCAATTGATAGTAGTCTAATGGCTAGTTTTTTAACAGAATCTGTTTCTCGGTTTTTGGGAGATTTTTGCTGATTCTTTGGGGTTTTGGCTGCTGTCTTCTCTCCCCAGAAATGCCCAACTACCTTAGTGCCCAAGTTTTATTGCAAATCTCTTATTTTTAAGATTATTGTTTTCAAGAGCTTCAACTTTCATTTTGCTTTCACTATCTCAAAGCCCACATCCCAAGCTTCAATTGCAATCTCTCCTCTTGCCATAGGGCTACTGTAAAGAGAGAGATTTTCTTTAAATTACAACTGTTGTGATCTTGATCTCGTGGAGATCTACTGTGTGGTTGTGAGATCTCAGTAGAGATCGTTGTGTAGAAAAAGTTCCGGCTTCCAAACCGGGTGTGTAGTGGATTTCTCCTCGAGAGTGGGGAGCGGGGACGTAGGTCAGCGGACCGAACCTTGTGAACATACCGCGTGTCATCAATTGGCTAACTATCTTTATCCCTACTCTCTTTTATTATCATTGCATTTCATTTTTGTGTGTGATTTATTGGAATATCTTTTAATTGCATATTATTTGTCCATAAACCATATTCAACCCCCCCCCCCTCTAGGGCTTCAGAAGCCTCTACCCCGACCTCTGCCATAAGGTTTCCCTCCTTCTTCTTCGCTCGAGACGTTATCGTACCATGGTCCCTCAAATTGGGCACCATAGTTCCCTCCTTCGTCACTAGATTCATCATGGAAGAGGGGTTGGTTGGGATGTCGTCTATGATGTGGAGGGGTTTGATATGGAGGAGGTTGATGCAGAGGGGGTTGATATGGAGGTGGTTGGTTTGGACTTGGTTGATTTGGAGGGGGATGAACAGGAGGGGTTTGAGGATTGTACGGGGGTGGATGTCGGGATAGCCTAACTCTAGTTCCTCTTAGGTGAAGACAGTCAACAAAGTTATTCTCAATGTTGAGGTGAAGGGTAAGTCCTTCAATGGCTTGTTGAAGGTTCTGAAGAGACGCCTCCAATGTACCAAATCTTCCATCCATAGAATCTATCCTAGTGGAAAGATCCTGTAGAGAAAGCTCCTTCTCGCCGTCACCTGCCATTGTCGAGGATATTGAAGCCGAAGCTCTGATACCACTTGACGCAGACGTAGAAACGGGGAGGCCGATCGGATATCGTTTTGATGCTGACGAGCTCTCACAATAATAGGTAGATAACAAGCTTGAATTCACAAGCCCTAGTTTTTCCAAATTTTGGGAAGAAAACAATAGAGAAATTTCTCTTGATTCAATAATTAAAAAAATTAATCCTTGTTTTACAAAAAGAACTAATATTTATAGTCAACTAACCTTATCCTAACCCTAATAAAAAAAGAAACTCTAATCCTAAAAGGAAATAACTGAAAACAAACTCCTTTCCTAATCTGTTTGTTGAGTCGATACGAGGCATGCCGAGTAGTACCGCCTTTCATGTCAACTGGACATGAGTCGATTAAGTATGTCAAGTAGATCTGCCTTTCGTGTCGACTGACATGTGTCGACTCGACCTGAGTAGTATTGCCCTTTGTGTCGACTGGCATGTATCGACTAACTCCACCCTTCGTGTCGACAGGGGTGTGTTGTCTCGTCTTGTCGACTAGGGTGTGTTGTCTCGTCTTGTCGATTGGGGTCTCGACTGGGGTCTCGGCTGGGGTCTCGTCCTCTCTACTAGGGTCTCGGCTGGGTTGCTTTGCCTCGAGTCATCATCTCAACTCGTCGGTTTGCTTCATCTCGAGTCGTCATCTCAACTCGTCGCCTTGAGTCGTATGTTCATCTCGTCCATCTGTTTAGTCATCTCGACTGTCGACTCGACTCGAGTTGAGATGTCAAGTCGTCGTCCGCTGATGTCGTCTCGGTCATGTAGATCTCCTGTATCAACAGGACTGAAGCAAGGCATGGCATCCGAATTAAGATGAGTTAAGTCTTTGTGTGTCATTGCCGCGTAGCCAGTTTTGTTGGCCAGGCCTAAGAATCGTAACATAAGTTAAGTAGGCTAAGTGCAAATGTCCCACGCTTTTAAGTTTAGTCGAGTTACATGTGGACTGAGTTGTTCACTGACGTAGCATGGTCTAGCTAGCTCCTACTTGTAAAATTCGTGTTATATGCATGACTAATCTAGTTTCTTATAGGGCTAGTAAGAGGTTTGAAGTAAATACAAGCATATGTTTTTGTGATCCAGTATGTTAGTTTCTCAATTACAGATGAATTACACTCACTATATATGTGCATAAACTTTAATTAGGTAAATAAAGGGAAGTAATTAGGTTTATAAAGAATGTGAAGAAATATTTAAAATATGTGTGTGTGGCCCGTGTGGGGAGGTAGGTTGTTGACATTAATAATATATATAGGGACTTATTTGTAAGTTGTGTAGGGGCTTATATAAGCCCAAGAGATCTCATAATAAAGTTAGGGTTTTTATTCTCATCTTGTTATCAGAGCCGGCTGCACCCTCTCCTC